GGGAGTAGGAGGGAGGGCCTGGGGAAGGCAAGAGTCTGCCTAGGGCTTCTGAGCTAGACTGGAGGTCAGAGGAGCTGGGACATCATGCTTTGCTGTCCTGGTGGTAGCCCAGACAGTGGGAGAAAGGGCTGGAGCCCACTTGTATCAGGTCTTCAAGGTGCTGGAAATGATGGTGGGAACCCCGATTCCCGGAACACCACAGGAGGTAATAGGGTTGGGTGACCAAGATCCAGAGCGGTGGGGTGGGAGACTCAGGCTTTGCCAGGACTGACACCTGTTCCTAGCAACCCTATGGTTGGACCCTTCCCCAGGTCAGGCTCCCCGCATGGAAGTGTGTAAGATGGGAGTGAGGGGAGGTCAGTCCCACCAGGGAAACTGGGAAGCCTGTGAAGGGGAAGGGACTTTGGGAATGACAAATGATCCCAGCTGCCGCCGTGATCCAAGGACCACTCCTTGGGGAGGGTCGCTCCTGCCCACACCATCCGGCCCACCTAGCGGGCCAGCGCGCCCTCTCCAGCCTGCCCCCTGCTCACGCTGGAAGTGGGGTAGAGCGGGCCTGGACCTTACCGTCTGCGGGGGGCTGCCCACAGTCATCTCCACATAGTAGCCCTGACCGGATTTGCCCCTCAGGTTGTCCACCATCTCCACAAAGCTGCCCCTCCGGCTAGGCTCCTCCGGCTCCTCGGTGTCCCGGGGCAGTCGCAGCCCCAGGGGCGTCCCCCCCAGCCCGCTCCGCAGGGGCAGCCGGATGCCAGGCTGGGCGCAGTGGGCAGGCAGCGCTGCCGAGCCCATCCACAGCAGGAGCCAGGGCAGTGCTTGGGCCATCGTGGGCCCCGGCCTTCAGGCCCGCAGGGGTCACTCGGGCCCAGGTCCGTCCCTGTTGCTTGCCCCCAACTCTGGGTGCCGGCGGCGGCTTCTCAGGAGAGAGCGCTGTGCAGCATCGGGGCTCCTGCGGGCCCCGGGCCAGCCTGGGGTCCAGGCTGCGGGAAAGGCAGGAACAATCGGCAGAGAGGAGGGGAGGAGATGGATCCTGGCTACATCTGGCCAGCGGCGTCCAGCCTCANCGCGAGGGGCTGCGATGCCCTCTGCCGAGGCGGAGCCCGCCCTGCAGGGCCGCGAGGGGCTGCGATGCCCTCTGCCGAGGCGGAGCCCGCCCTGCAGGGCCGCGAGGGGCTGCGATGCCCTCTGCCGAGGCGGAGCCCGCCCTGCAGGGCCGCGAGGGGCTGCGATGCCCTCTGCCGAGGCGGAGCCCGCCCTGCAGGGCCGCGAGGGGCTGCGATGCCCTCTGCCGAGGCGGAGCCCGCCCTGCAGGGCCGCGAGGGGCTGCGATGCCCTCTGCCGAGGCGGAGCCCGCCCTGCAGGGCCGCGAGGGGCTGCGATGCCCTCTGCCGAGGCGGAGCCCGCCCTGCAGGGCCGCGAGGGGCTGCGATGCCCTCTGCCGAGGCGGAGCCCGCCCTGCAGGGCCGCGAGGGGCTGCGATGCCCTCTGCCGAGGCGGAGCCCGCCCTGCAGGGCCGCGAGGGGCTGCGATGCCCTCTGCCGAGGCGGAGCCCGCCCTGCAGGGCCGCGAGGGGCTGCGATGCCCTCTGCCGAGGCGGAGCCCGCCCTGCAGGGCCGCGAGGGGCTGCGATGCCCTCTGCCGAGGCGGAGCCCGCCCTGCAGGGCCGCGAGGGGCTGCGATGCCCTCTGCCGAGGCGGAGCCCGCCCTGCAGGGCCGCGAGGGGCTGCGATGCCCTCTGCCGAGGCGGAGCCCGCCCTGCAGGGCCGCGAGGGGCTGCGATGCCCTCTGCCGAGGCGGAGCCCGCCCTGCAGGGCCGCGAGGGGCTGCGATGCCCTCTGCCGAGGCGGAGCCCGCCCTGCAGGGCCGCGAGGGGCTGCGATGCCCTCTGCCGAGGCGGAGCCCGCCCTGCAGGGCCGCGAGGGGCTGCGATGCCCTCTGCCGAGGCGGAGCCCGCCCTGCAGGGCCGCGAGGGGCTGCGATGCCCTCTGCCGAGGCGGAGCCCGCCCTGCAGGGCCGCGAGGGGCTGCGATGCCCTCTGCCGAGGCGGAGCCCGCCCTGCAGGGCCGCGAGGGGCTGCGATGCCCTCTGCCGAGGCGGAGCCCGCCCTGCAGACCCGGGGCGAGGGAGCCGGCCGCGGCAGGGAGGGGGCCCCGCAGGATAGAGTGGCAGCTGGCCTCCCATTCTCAGTCCTTCATTCTGCATTTGTTAAGCACCCACTGTATTCCCGGCATTCTGCCAGGCACTGTGAGCACAATAAAAGGCACATAAACCACACAAAATTCTGTGGCTCTAAGGAGCCGGGGTGGGGGGACAGCTGTTAGTGTTATTACCACCACAACCTTCGAGAAAAAGGACACCGACTAAGCTAAAAGGTAAGTCACAGACTAGAAGATAACAATTGTCACACAATAGAGAGACAAAAAGTAAATTTCTGTAATATACAAGGAGCTTCCATAAGTCAATAAGCCTCCAACAACCTGGTAGAAATATGACGAAATAATGTAAACAGGTAACTAATAGAAGAAATTCAAATGGTAAATAAACATGAAAAAAGGGTAACTTCATTAACAGTGAAAGAATGCAATTAAAACAACATTTAGATACTATCATTATTTATTTATTACTTCCCATATTGGTAATATTTGATGTTAGTGAAGGTGTTGGTTGGGCTGTAAATCATTCCATTTTTAGAGAGAAATTGGCAATGTCTATTAAAATGTAAAACGTACTCTTTGAGCAATGTCAATTCTAGAATCCTAGACAACAAAAATAACTGTATTTCAGCATATGTGCATTATCAAAACTTTTCAAACAAAATAAATGACTGTCAATAAGTGAATGAGACATTCATGGAATAGAATACTATGTAACCATTATAAAGAATGGAGTAACTTCTTATGAAACTTACCTTGGAACATCTTTACGACATGTGACATGGAAAGAGCACATTGTAGAACATTAAGTCCATTATGATCTTATTTCTGTAAAATTAAAAAGTATGCACATGTGCATATACATGTGTGCATATAAATTTACATCCGCATAAGCATGAAAAAGACTGGGGATAGGAACCAAAGTGTTTACAGTGATTTCCTCCAAAGTGTGGGATTCATGTCTTCCTTCCTTTGATCATTCATTCATTCATTCATTCATTCATTCATAAAATGTCTTCTGAGGTCTTACTATGTGCTAAGCACTGCTTTAGGCACTGTGCATACAACAATAAAGTGGACAAAACTCCTGCCCTCATGCAGCTTATGTGTTAATACAGGGAGACAGACAATAAAGAAATAAATAGACAATATTTCAGGTGGTGATAGGTTCTATAGAGAAAAATAAAGCAGAGAAGGGAGATGGAAGGGCAGTTTGCAATTTTAAATAAAGTGGATTGAAAGTGTAGAGGGAACATTTCACATCTTTATATAATTTTTTTAAATGGTAGGGTTAATGAGTGTTTTTCTTTATATTATGTGGGTGATTACTTTGTATATTACAAGTAAACAGAATGAAGAGAGAAGAAATGTTTTAAAGTGGAATTTCTGACCTGGGGTAGGGCATAAAATTTGAGACTGATTTGTTTTTTTCCTCCCCTATCTTTGAAAAACCATCCCTAAATGTTCACCCCTGACTGCAGAAGGAAACCTACTGTGTGAAATTCTCAGTCTCTCTTCTCCACTCATTGGGCATATTACTAGTACATCAATTAGTATGTCATTTTTGTTATTTTCCCTTAAAGACTTGCTTTCTTATGTTTGCCTAAGGGCATTTAAAAATTGGTTTGCATTTCTGGGTACAAACCTATAGGGAAACCTGATAAAATGCAAATTGCTTATCTGTGTGAGGTAATCCCATTAATCCCAGAAAGACCCTTATTTTATTAGTTCTCCCCAAGATAGAGCAAGGGATCCATGTTAAGGGATAGAAGTTAAGCGTTTTGATGACTATTAAAGTCAACCAAATTAACTGCAAATTCTTAAACATAGGGACCAAGTCTACAAATGGTTTTTTGAATCTCTGTTTTGTGCAAGGTCTGTGGTGTAAACTGGTTCCTTCCAGTCTGGTCTCTCTGGCTTCTCTGAGAGACTTTTAAGGAGTGTAGAAAGGAAGGGGGAACAATGATTTGTCATCTGCAGGCAAAATAAAGGAAGTATAGGCATAACTGCCACAGAAAGATTTAAAGTTAAACACGAAAACCACATTCTGGGAACCTGGTTCGGGATCTACAGGAACAATCTGGTTTTCTCATTCTGGAATCAGCCCCGAGTGGCGCTGGGACTGGTTTCAGGAGTTGGTGGGAGCCAGACACCTCTCCACAATGGAACTTATCGGGAACTTCTCCAGGTGTTTCTCCAGGTGTTCCGTTCTCCTTTTCAACTAGTAATGTAACCGTGGGAAATTATAACCCACCCACCATTCTTTTGACGTTGTTTCTGTAAATGCTGACTCTGACTAATATGCAGCTTGTAGATAAACAGCATGTTTGTATAAGAATTGTAAAAACTAACTTCAGAAGATGCAGACTCCGACCTTTAGTCATCCCAGTTCCAGGAGATTTGCTGACCTTCAACCTTAGAACCAGGATGCCAAAGACCAGGGTGACCCACACCAGACTGTCGCTTGACCAGTTTCAAGGTCCTTCTTGGAGTGGACTGTGCTGGCTGCACGTAAAGAGCTGTTTAACCTGCCCCCTTGATCTCGTTGTTCTGCTTTGCCTCTCCTTCCTTATAAAAACCTCTGCCTGCACTGAGATGTGGAAATGGGCTTTGTGACAAGAGTCCCCCATCTTCTCGAGATGGGGGCACAGGAACAAAGCCTCTTTCCTTTCTCACCAGCACCTGTCTGTGAGTTTGGCTTTCATGGTGCAGGCAGCCGAATCTTGGTTCCGGTTATAGTAACATCTCTTAACTTTCCTGGTCCCAGTTTTCTGATTGATAATGGCTGGAGGTGTCTTTGCCACTCTTACCTTCTCTAGGAGGTTGAGAATGTATGAGAGAAAGGAAGATTTGTTTTCTGTGTAAGCAAAACTAAAGCTCTTTGGAATTATATTAGTAGCAACTCTTCTGTCAAATAGGGTGTGTGGAGGGACTACACACTGTGTCACTCTTTTTCCTCTTGAACAGTCCCTTGAAATAGTTAGGACAGATATTATCCCCACTTTGCAGACATGTAAACTGAGCCCGTGCTCTGGTGAAAAGATTGACAGTAGAAACTAGTCTCTTAACTCCTGGTCAGATGCTCATTGATTTAATCGGAGCACAAAGGAGACGTTCTTTCTTTTTGGAGGAGGTGGTGGTAGGGGGTCTCTATTACCGTACATCCATATCTCTTTTATTTTTTAAAAGGCTCATGGGTTGATTATTTATGATCAGTGTATTGTTTACCTGATGTTAATCACACTACTAAAAAATGATGAGCAATGAATTGCCCTAGTTAATTCACGTCACGGTAAAGAGCGTGAGTGCGCCTTTCCCGCGGGGGCAGAAGTTCCCCACGTCTGGGTTCGGAGCTCCGTTTCTACCCGTCGCGGAGCCGCCTCGCGGCTCGGACTCCATCTCCCATTGTGCAACGGGAAACCTGCAGCCCCCTTCGGCGATCCGACGGGACGCCCAACCAATCCAGTGCCAGAGCTCTCATCCTGCGACCTATTGGCTCCTGAGAGAGGCGGGACTCTCCGTTGTTACGTCGGTTCCCTCTCCGGAAGTGGCTGTGGGCCGCTGCAGGGCAACACCCCGGCGTCCCTGGAAGCGGGGAAGCGGGGAAGCGGGGAAGCGGGGAAGCGGGGAAGCGGGGAA